TATGAACCAGCTCTAAATGGATTTTGAAATTTATCTGAATGAATACATCACATAAGAAATAAGCAGTAAAATTAATATTTTTCCCTGAAATATGAAAATAAGTCTGCTGTTGAAACTTTAAAATGGAAGGCTTAGATTGCCGACATGATTCTTTTGTTTACATAAAGCAGGATAAATTGAATAAACTGACAAATACATTTATACAGAGACATAATTTTACCAGCAGTTCCAAATTCCATCCGTTGCAACAGCAGCTTCTTCAGTTCCGGGTAGTTATTTTCTTCAGTTAAAGTCTTTATTGCCAAACGGGTTTTCTCATTCTGTTTTACATTTAAAACAATTGCATTACATCACAAAAAACAAACCATTTTGCTAATTCTAAAATTCTAATTTTAAATTTAAATTATAAGCAGATTCTCTCTTTTAGTCTCTCTCTCTTTCTCTCACCCACACATACACACACATATGTAAAAAAGACACACATTAATACATGCAGCTCCCTCCCCCCCCCACTTTCCCCCACAATGAGATGACTGACTGACTGACTTTCTACCCCACCAGGATATCACACAAGCACGATAAACACCTGATGACACAATGTGCCACCATGTGGATGAGGATCACCGTAGGGAGGTCCCAGAAACCGCGTTCAGCCTTTAGGCCATATTTATGGCCAGGCTATAATGCGGCCCCTGGCAAGAGCCAGAGTAGGGCTTCAAATAATGAAAAATGCTATCCTAAAAAGGGCGGTAAGTAGATAAAACACAATGAGATACTGACCTTGTCCCACTTCAACCACTGGTTAATCTCTGCATTTAGCTGCTCATTTCCGGTATCTATTTCTGTCATCTTTATCACGATAAGTCAGACTTTTTTATAAACTTAATAAAAAAGTTGTCTTCAACAGTAAATGCTGAAAATCCTGGAATCAACACCCAAAGAAACATATGCATATTATAATCACAAATAAACACAACAAATATATGTATGGACCTAAATATGACCAAACATGCATTTATGAGCCTAACCTGCATGAAACCTAAATTGTTACTATATTCTTTTTCTTCTTCTTCTTCAGCGATCTCTGGTCATGTGCAAAATCCACTGTGGGCCATAAAATTTACAATATAGTGTGAAATGAAAAATATAAATCTCGGCTACCCTCCGAATAACGGGCACAAAAGATGGCGGCCCAAAACAGGGCCTTAGTCACGTGTCAATTGCGCACTTCCGGCGACCTAATTTGCAGTTTTCCGGCGACTACCGCCACCGCACAGTGTCCCCGACGCGGCGTGGACTGGGGCTAAACTAGATGGCTAGGACTCACGAGCAAAGCAGCAGGAAATGGGGAAGCTGCTGCTCGTGAGTCCCAGCCATCTAGTTTAGCCCCAATCCATGCCACTTGAGCGGCATGGGGGATACTCTCGGCGGTGGCGGTAGTCGTCATAAAACCGCAAATTAAGTCGCCGGAAGTGCGCAATTAACACTTGACTGAAGCTCTGTTAAGAGTGTTTTTGTGGCTGCCATCTTTTGTGCACATTATTCGGAGGATAGCCTAAATCTCTATCCTGGACGATCGGTAGGCAGGCCAAACAATTTCTGGTGGCCTCAGAGATGTGGTTTTACAGAAGAATACTTAGAATACCTTGGACAGCCAAAAAGAGCAACCAAGAGGTTTTGAAAGAGGTGGGAGCCCAGAGACAACTTACCACAGACATCAGAAGGAGACAGTCATCATTTTTTGGCCATGTTATGAGAAGAAGGAAAATAGAACATGTTGTGACCACTGGAAAGATCTGTGGAAGGAGGGATAGAGGAATACAACAAGAGAAGATTCTTGACAGTCTTGTTGCATGGCATAGAGGTGTGTCAACACACGAACTGATACATGCTGCAGGAGATTGCAGATTGTGGAGAGGCATGATCGCCCACGCCAGTCGGCAAGGCACCTGATAATGATGATGATCATTATGTGGGGTAAAAAACAAGATATTCTACAGTTCCCAATAAAAACAGTGGAACATTAATATTAAATCTACTAGCGTTATGAAATGTGATATAATTTACGTAAACTTCACGAAAGTTACGACACATAGTCATACAAGGGTATGATGAAACTGTACCTAATTAATGCTCCCCTCTAGTTTACTTTCGTATAGAACGTAGAAGAACGTAACTTAACTTGCAAATGCCGGGCACCATACATCAAATTTGCAGCAATTCTGTAAATGTCTGCTTTAATAACGCAGTGCATTTAGTTATCATGATAATAATTCGCAAGACTCTTTTTTTGTAAATTTAAACATATGTGATTATTTACTTACTGAAAGATAAAATTGTGTTATCTCCGAAGTGAACTCTTACCTCGGCGCCGTGTCGATGGAGAGTTGTCGTTTGGACGTGTAGTAACGGGGTCATGGTCGTGAGGTCAATGATACAGGTCACAAAGCAGCAGGCGATAGTAATACCAATAATTTAATACATAACAACCAGGACCTCGCGGTCCTGGGACAAAACACAACGGTTCTAGAGGAGACAACCTCGATTTAAAAAAAAAATTCAAGCCTCAAGTGGATTTACGTGCCGAGAGGCTGAATGGCTGTGGGATAGGCAGTCGTGAGCGTGGACGTCTGGTCAGCAGGAGGAGCGGCGTCAGGCGTATGAACTCCATAAGGACATCAATTGCCTCTTTCCTAGCAGGCAGGTTATACTATGGTGACCGGTTACTCCCTGCTCCATAACAACTTCAACATATGGATTTTTAATTTCCATTTATCATCATCATGTGCCCTGTCAGTTGGCGTAGGTGTTCATGCATCTCCACAGATCACAATCCCTGGTGATTTGCATCCTTTTTAGGATGGATTTTTTTTTTTGTTATTTGAAGCCCCACCCTGGCTTTTGCCAGGGGCTGCAATATAGGCAGGCCATAAATATGGTCAATTGTCTGAACGCAGTTTCTAGGACCTCTCCACGGTGATCCTCATCCACATTGTGGCACTTTTATGTCATCGGGTGTTTATCGCTTGTGTGATGTCCTAGTGGGGTAGAAAGTCAGTGAGTCAGACAATCCCTGGTTGCCTGGAACAACTCCTTTGATGATATCCCTCTATGCCATCGTTTCAGCCCATTCAGCATAATCTCTCTTGGTCTGCCTTTACCCCTTTTTCTCTCTGGGCGCAGTTAAGGGTCAGCGGCTGATAAGAGGGAGGTCATGGATGGCTCATGCAGAAGACACAATCAGACAGGTTTGCATCCTTGAGAACATGAGGAGAGGAGTAGGTCAAAGTGCCACCTGAACAGTCTGACTTGTGTAGAGTCATATTCAAATTGAGCCGGGAATACAGAGACTGGCCAGCAGGTGCCACGGAGGTGGAAATTCAGCAATTAATTCAGGATAATGCTCGCTCAGAGGATTGATCATTTACACAGACGGTTCAGTGTCAAGAGGCAAAAGAAGTGCTTGGGGCTTCTTAGCAAAAGTTTATGGTCGACGTTTGGTGTAGGAGAGCCTAGCATATGATACCACATCATCCAGCTTAAGAATGGAGGTGGAGGCGGTCACTGCAGCTTTCCGCTGGCTAGAGAACACCACACACACACACACACACACACACACACACACACACACACACACACACACACACACACACACACACACACACATCGTAATTGTAACCGACTCAGAAAGCATGCTGAGGAAGATCAGAACAGGTATGCTTCGTGCAGAGTGGCATGCCTTGCTGCGGAGGACCCGAGTGAGGAGTATTGTTTTTTTTTTCCCCGGGTGATGGCGCTGTGTTGAGAAATGAACAGGCGGACAGACTGGCTGGCTCTGCACAACTTAGTGGAATACTGATAAATGATAAGGTAGACGTGGTTAGTGCCTTGTGGGAGAGCGTGTACAGTTCGGAGGAGTAGATGGATCACCAGTCTGGCGAAATTGATGTAGGAGGGAGTGACAAGAGGTTCTGGTAGATGTTCGAGGCTCAGAGGGACGTTTAATCAGAATGCTACTGGCACCATTTGTATCGGAACTCTTCTCTGGTTGCTGAAGATGGGGACGGAGCGCTTATGGGAATGCCACGAGTGCTGTGATGTCGGTTCTTGAACCAAATCAAATCAAATGGTCACACATTGGACATGCATGCCCGTCTTTTATTCGGCCTTTCCAAACACCGACCTTTCACAGAGCAATTGTATTTTATCAATACAGCATGTAATGTTGATATAACGAAATTCATAATATAATTATCAAGAAAGAACACAAACGCTTGAATTGTAAAATGTACGCGCACACGCTTACGCACACTTATACGTACACATACATATATACACGCAAAGATAGATAGATAAATAGACAGACAGACAGACAGACAGACAGACAGTCAGACAGATAGATGGCTGGATAGATAGATAGATAGATAGATAGATAGATAGATAGATAGATAGATAGATAGATAGATAGATAGATAGATAGATAGATAGATAGATAGATAGATAGATAGATAGATAGATAGATAGATAGATAGATAGATAATTGGGTGATCATCATTGCACTCCAGACATGTCCATAGGTGCTCAGATTCTCCCCTCAGTATGAACCCCAACGACTGATGGCTAATAGTTCAAGTTCTATGTTGATTAACAAGTCTTCTGGTGTGTGTCTCGTTTTTTGCCATGCCGATCTTAATTCCCAGTGATGTGGATAGATAGATAGATAGATAGATAGATAGATAGATAGATAGATAGATAGATAGATAGATAGATAGATAGATAGATAGATAGATAGATAGATAGATAGATAGATAGATAGATAGATAGATAGATAGATAGATAGATAGATAGATAGATAGATAGATAGATAGATAGATAGATAGATAGATAGATAGATAGATAGATAAGTACGTTACCGAGAGGATAGTTTTATAAGTGTCACATGATCGACCAAAATGGTGTCATTCATCAACTTTCGATATCACTAACTTTTTACACGCAGCATGTTCAAGTTTTCGATGTTACACCTGCCGTTATTTTTACACGTGTATTTAATTACACTGATTATTTACACAAATTGCACAACACGGTTAAAAAGACAATTATATGAGCAGTTTTCTGAATTTACAATTGGTTATAAAAAAGAATACTTGACCAATTCTTCAGAATTTTTGAAGAGATTTGAGATTTTCAAGGCATGTTAACATGTTTTTCTTTTTAAATTAAATTGATTAATGTGTTTTTAAAAAACACATTAAGTCTTCAGTATTTGAATTTTTTTTTCACTTTATTTTATCTTGACCGCATTACTTATTAATATTAAATTATAGAAACACACAAATAATGCTTTTGTTCCGAACTTCTACCCCCCTGCAGTATTGCGGCCTGAAATATCCGTTCGGGGCGCAGTCCAATTAAAAATACGGACTTGTCGGAGATCCCGCCGAGGAACAAATTGCGGCAAAACTAGGAGTACCTTACAATGTCACGAGACGCAACATTGCAGACGATAATAGCAGACGATAAATGCGACCGGTGACAATGTCGAGCATTTTCTGCAGAAGATACTAGCAGACGATAAAAGCGACCGTTGACAATTTCGAGACATTACAGATGAGGAAAGCGATATGGCGGGTAGACCACACGCCCCCTTGCAGATTAGCAATACTGTTCTTCCGATTGAGGATTTAGCAGCAGTAGATGTCAGACTTGTCGGCATGCCCAAAACGCTGAGGGAATCCCTCGCGCCGCTGCGTGCGGCGCGGATGGGGGGCTAAACTAGGTGCCTCTGACTCACGAGCAAAGTAACTGGAGGAAGTTGCAGGAGATGCGGTAGCTGCCGCTCGTGAGTCCTAGCCATCTAGTTTAGCCCCTATCCACCCAGTAGGTTTTGCAGTAGAACCTAGAAGGAGACCTCATCACTATGAAATTTCAAAACTATAAACATTTTTAACACACTAAGTGAACAATAGAAGTGGCAACTAGGGGATGCCAGGTTTCTCTGGTGTACTCTTACCACCTGTAAAATCTATATGAACGCACTGCACTGTGGTTGAGTTTCATAGTGAAGAGTCCATCACACATCATGCCTTGCTTGGGTCTGAAAGCATTAAAAACATACTACAGGGTAAAGTTGAAGCCAAGAGAGCAAGAATGAGAAAAAGATAAGAATAGGATGGCAACATCAAAAGATGGCTGGGCAGCAGTCTGAGAGAGTGAACCACAAAGACAGGCAATAAGATTACTGGCGATTTATTGCAGCTAACTTTCATTGTAAAGATGGCACTTGATTGATTCTGAATTTTAAATTCTAGGCCAGTGGTACTCAACCTTCCTAATCTGTGACCCTTTAATACAGTTCGTCATGTTGTGATGACCCCCAAACATACAATTAGTTTTATTATTACTTCATAACTTCAATAAATATGTGTTTTCTTATGGTCTTAGGTGACCCCTGTGAAAGAGTCGTTCGACCCACACACATAAAAAAAAAAGATTGCAACCCACAGTTTGAGAACCACTGTTCTAGGCTATGAGAAGAGATGGGGTGGCCAGTCCTCTGTCTCATAAACTTTCCTTCCCGGACAATTCCCAGACAATTTGGAAAATATTTGGTACTCACTTTTGTGAGGCTGGATCATAGTCAGTGCCGTTAATTAATTCTTTGTCCTACTGTACCATTATATGTCCTTCCTTGATTCCACCGGCCGGGCAGCAATATGACTTTTGTCTGGAATATGTCAGCTAAGTGATCTGATGTGTTTCTGTTAACTTCTGTAATGTGCTGATGACAACTTTCTAGCCACAATGTTCACTTGCAATTTGTTTTTTTGTGTGATAATCTCCTTCTTCTTCTTCACGTTCGCTGGCTTTAAACTCTGGCAGAAAGTTCTGATTATTTGTCCACCTCTGGACTTTAGTCTTGTTCCAGAACCTGAGTGTTGCATGCACATCCGTTTAACATATCTGACTTGATTGTATGCAGATTGCTGGTTCCTTGCCTCTCAAGCAGATGCACTCCAACTTTGAACGAAGCCCCCAGTTACTCGACTCTCATGACATGCTTGTTGGGGAGGCAGTGAGTCTATTCTTGATTTCGCCACAATGGGGCCTCAGAGCCCACCCAGGGATGTTTGTGATAATGTAAAGCTTACTAGTTCTACTTTTTGTTTGCTTGATATCTTTTCATGATGTATGTCACATAAGGCTTCTCCATTCCATTCTATCCTGTGCAATCACTATGATGTCTTGGATGGAATTCAGTCCAGCACCTCCAGCTTCTCTCATAAATGTTATCCTTGGGATTTCTCTTGGGCCTCCTTGCGCCATACCGGTAAGAAAAAAACAAACAAAAAAACTGCTATTTCTGAGGATTCTTCTTTTCTTCTTCTTCGCGTTCACCAGCTGTACACTCTGGCGGAAAGTTCTGGTTGCTCGTCCATTACTGAACTGCAGTCCTGCTTCAGAACCTGAGCGTTGCGTGTGCATCAGTTTTACAGATCTCATTCTCTTGATTACAGACTGTTGGTTCCTTGCCTCTCCGGCAGATGCACTCCGATTAGTTCCCCAATTAGTCGACTCTTACAACATGCTTTTGGGGAGGCAGTGGGTCTATTCTTGTTTTCCCCTCAATAGGGCCCCGGAACCCACACGGGGAATTTCTGAGGATTGAACCAGGACCACTTTCATGACAGGCAAGGATACTAACCATCAGCGCCTACAAAACCTAGGCTCAGTCAACTTAACGCCCTCTCCCCCTCCCCATAGGAACAGTTTAACAGTACAACGTATAGTTAACTAAATGAATACAAAATATGACAAGACAGCTATAGCAATGGAAAGCACACAGATATGTGCAAACAAGTCTTTATCAGTGAGCTGTATAGAGGCAGAAGGGAGACTGTTGACAGGAGAGTGACAGCACAAATGCAACAGGAAGAAACAGACAATTTGTAGGCTTGGGACAGGACTCTGAGGGCTTAGATCACACCTTCACGGAATAGGCATACAAGAATCTGCCACCTTTGAGTCTGGGGCAGACAGGTAGGTTTCTGAACATGTGCTACAGACTTTCCTGTATACTTCTGGCAGAGAGTGGTTGTACTGCCTAAGAAAGCCACATTACAAGACATGCTGTGGGGTGCTGGTAGCAGCTTTAGACCCTGCACCATCCAGTTTGTGACTCAGGTGGGGCTGAATGAATGTTCATGAGTTAAGAACCGACATCGTAGCACTCAGGACGTTCCCATAAGTGTTCCGTACCCATCTTCAACAGCAAGTGCAGAGTTCAAATTCCGATGGTACCAGTGATAGTCTGATTGTATGTCTGAGTCACTCCTTCCCTGAGTGTTAAGCGTTTGCCAGATTTCCAGCCGTTCACTCCTCACCGCATCTTTCTCTTCAAACAGTGCTGATCTGTTTGTGCCTTCACACTGTTTACTCGCTCCCAAAGGGACCTGATGACATCTAGCTTATCATAAATCACCACCAAGTGGTGCAGTACCAGCCAGTCTATCTTCCTATTCATGGGCTAAGTGTTTGACATGGCTGATGCTGAATGCAGAAGAGGAAGAAGAACAAAAATGAACAAGATGCTAAGAATACTTAGCAATAAACATACAAAAACAAAAAGATTTACCATTCTCTTACAGAAGCTATAAAGTTACTTCATTCTCATATTATTTTATTTCAGGACAATCTTATCCGAGCTAAATATTTGAATTTGGCCTACAATGTCAGTGACAAAGCTGTATACGGAGTTAACAAGTTTGCAGACCTGACCCCTGAAGAATTTGCAGGTACATTTTTTAAAGAATTTATTGTCTTGGAAACCAATTGTCTTGTTAGCCGCTATGGTGTAGTGACTAGACGCTCATCTGTGGATCTTAAAGTCATGGGTTTGAAACCAGACGGAGCTGGAGTTTTTCAGAAATGACCTTGGCTCCCAGGTCCACTGAGCCTTAAATGGATAAAAATCCTGGCAAGTAAAGACGACCACATCACCCACCAAGTGCCGATTGGTCTATAAAATATAGGTCTTGCACTATATGCCCAATACATCTGAATGCATGGAATAGGTTCCTTTATCATTGTCAGGAGGAAGAATGGCTGGCTGTATGGTTAGAATGCTAGACACTGACTCAAGAGACCTGGGTTTGAATCCTAGATAAGGTATTTCTATCTGGTACAAAAATAAAAATCCTTATCTGCACAACTCACGGTGACTGCTCTAGCTATGCTGCTCTAAACAGACTCAAGACACACCTCAAAATGTGGTGAGTACAGACAGTAAGGACATTTAAAAAAACAGTTGCCTCAGGATTGTTGTGTTGTTTGTTATAGTGAATTATATGTTATTTAAAATATTTGTATTTTTAAAGCAAATAAATTAATCTTGTTGCTGACTAAAAAAAACCGCTTATATATATATATATCCTCTTCCTCCCCTGGCTCCGCGAGGCATTCCAGGAGTAGAAAAAAGAAGAAGGTATATATATTTAGCAGGAGTGAACTTTGTAAAGTCAAGGTTACCTTATGTCCACATGAGTCTAGTAGTATATACTGTTGTGGGAGTTGAGTTGAGTCAAGAATTGACATCACAGCACTCGGGGCATTCCCATGTGTGCTCCGTCCTCATCTTCAGCAGAAGTGTAGAGTTCCAATGCTGATGGTACCGGTCACAATCTGGTTATATGTCCACTGTTGTGTTAAAGGATAGGCATATAAGAGTCTGCCACCTCTCAATGGGGACCCTACAGACAGACTCCTGCTCATGTACTGCAGGATTGCCCTAACTACTCTCAGCGTAGGTTGGGGAACTGGTCAAATGGAGCCACATAGCAAGACTTTGGGGGACGCAAGACTTTGGGGAACCAGTAGTGGCCTTAGATGCATTGTCCTTCTTGTGACCCAGATGGACTGAGTATTCAACATGGCTGATGCTGAACGCAGAAAGGAAAAAAAAAGAGGAAGAAAAAGCTGTTTAATAGCAGACAGGGATGAAGTGTCAGATTAATCGGAGCTACAGCTTAATATAACAGGATAGTCGGTTCTTTTCTTTTCACCTTTCCTTCCTAGTTGGGGGGGGGGGGGTAGTCCACAAGTGTCTCTTTTGGCCAGAAGTTTTACCTGGAAGCATTTAATCTGGGGCAGTCTTGAAGGATGTGATCTGTTGTTTCAGGTGCCAGTCCACAAGTACACATGGCTGATTGCCCAATCTTAAATTTGTTGTACATGTGGCAGCGAAGTCCATTGTGTCCTGTTCTAAGGCGAAGGACAATGACTTGCTCTGGTCTGTCCATAATATGGTAATCATCTTGTTCCAGTTTCGGTGGCATTCTTATTGATTTTATCATTCTCTTCTTCTGTTGAAAATTCTAGAAGTTATCCACTGCCTTTTGGCGTGAGTGGTGAAGGGGGTGTACTGACAGGACGGCAGTAACACAGTATGTATGGTCGCCCTAGTCATATGGTAACTAATTTGTCACATCTTCTCTCTCCAGCACAGTATTTGTCAGGCTTCAAGAGAAACAAGTGCTTGAGTCAGAAACAGCCATCTTCAGTCATTCCTAGAAATTATAAAAGTCTGGATATTCCACAAAAGGTTGACTGGTACGTTGCTTCTAAAATGTATGTGATAATCTGTGTATGAAGGCTGTGTGCCATGAAAGACCTAGTTTGGTATGCTGAACACATCACATCGACGGACATATTGGAGCAGTCTAAAGGCATAAATGGGAATTGCCAAAAATAAAGATTTTTGCTGAGTGTTTGGTCAACAGTTTTGTTTATATATTTTTTAAAAATAATTTCTTGCTATCGTATTTTATTTAACTCTTTCACCCCATGAATGCTAAAAAAAGAGAGATGTGACATGAATTCATGGGAATTTCCTGAAAAATATTCTGTAAAAAAAAAACCCGTAATACACAGGTCACTAATAAATTGTTTCTTAATGTATTAATGCACATTTTAAATTTTTATTCAAAATGTGTTAAAATATATAAAGCTTTAAGACCAAACTAGAAATCTTTCATTCTGATGTTATTTCAGTTGTAATGTATGCCAGCAAAAAGTGGAAAAACCACCAAAGATATGGAACAAAGTTTAAATGCATTTGAAAATAAGTGTCTGAGAAGGATCTTGAACATAAAATAGGGTGAATTCAAAAAGATTGAAGAGAGAAGAGAAATGGAAATGTCTAAACTACTTGTATCGACTGCAGTAAGACAAAGAAGATGGAGATATTTTGGGCACACTCTGGGATGAAATAAGCAAAGAATCTTAGAACAAGCACTGAAATACTGGGGAAAAAAACCGGTCTGAGAACAAGAGGATGTCCAAGGTAAACATTCTTCTTCTTCTTCTGCCTTTCTATCCCCCCCATGGAGCATAGGCCCTCAACCAACTCACGCCAAGTCATTCTATCTTTCGCCATTACACGGAGCTCTCCTCATGTCCTCCCCATCTTTCTAACTTCATTCTTCAGCTCTCTTCTCCATGTTTTTTGGCCTTCCTTTTTTCCTATGCCCCTGTGGGTTCTAATGCAAACACATTCTAGTTATGCTGTTCTCCTGTTTTCTCAGAGTGTGTCCTATCCAACGCCAGCATCTTTTCCTCACCTCTTGGTCCACTGGAGCCTGTTTAGTTCTCTCCCAAAGCTCTACATTAGTTATTCTATCACACCATTTAATTCCCTCTATTTTGTGCAGGCACCAGTTAATGAATGTCTGTAATTTATTAGTAATTACCTTAATTATTCTCCATGTTTCTGCTCCATACAAAAGTAATGATTTGATATTAGACGTGCTATGAAAGTTCCTCTTGCCTTTTGTATTCTTATTTTAATATCTCTATCAGTTCCTCCATCTTTATTTACATTCCTGCCCAAATAGGTGTACAACTCCACGTCTTGGAGCGGGGAAGGTAAACATTAGGAAGAACATTATTACAAAAGGCTAGAAATGCTGGGCTGAACTCAGTGTCAGAAATCAAGACAGTTGCATGCAATAGGGCGGAGTGGAGGAATAGCATGCAAGCTAAATGTGACGTCTAACGGCACAAAAAAGGTGATGACAATATAAAGGGGTAAAAATCTTCTTCTTCTTCTTCTTTTGTGATCTCACTGTTACCAGGTTGTAGCCCAGTGTCGTGGTTTTCTGTATTTGTCTTGCGCTTCTCGGGTTGCTTGAGTGATGGATTTGTTAAACATTTTTGCAGGTTTTATCGACACCTTTATCCATCTCTTTCTTGGTCTTCCTCTCGCCTCCCTCCCAGATGTTTTACTGTAAAGTCTCATATGCAGTTTGGTCTGGCTGCATTCTCTTTAGATCGCCGAACCATTTCATTCTTTGTTTGTCAGTATAATTAAGACATGGTCTTATTCCAGCTTTCTCTTTAATGCTGGTTTTCGTTAAACCTGTCTCGTGTAGTGTTGTTAGTGACCTTGTGGAGACAGCACATTTCACATGTAATTATTTTTTATGTTCTAGTGCCCTATTCATTGTCCATGTTTGGCACTGATAACATAAAGTAGGAATTAAGATGCTTTTAATCATTTGCTGTTTTGCTGGAAGCGAGACATTTTAATGTCTAAGCAGTAGGGCTAACTGGTAAGTGACAGCATTTACCTTCTGTACTCTGGCTTCTATTTCTCTTTCGAGTCTACCATCCTCTGTAAATATGCTTCCTAGATATTTTAATTCTCATACTTGTTTGATTGTAGTACCGTTAACATAAACAAACGTTCATGATATGTTTCCTGCCTATTCTCATTATCTCAGTTTTTGCTGTGTTTATTCTCATGTCATACTTTGTGCAGGCTTCAGGTAAGGAGTCAATATGGTGTTGTAAATTCTGTTCTTGGTGGTGTATTAGACACTGATTATCTGCAAAAAGAAGTTCATAAGGGGTAATCAGTAAACACAAAGTAAAGCATTAAATGTAACCCATTTTCCTGGATGTTTTAAAAAAAAAAAGATAAATTTAGCAGGTCATAGTTTGTTTTAATTTAAATGTTAGCATTTAATCTCAGTGTTGTATATGATGTTAAAAAGGGGAGGGGGAGGTAAAGGAAGTTGTTCTAAACTTTTAATTTTTTTTTTTCAGGCGAGAAAAAGGTGTCCTAACTGGCATTAAAGATCAAGGAACATGCGGCGCTTGCTGGTATGCAGATTCAGTTTTTTAAAATATATTATTACTTTCAATGCTCTCAGACTATCATACTGTTGCACTAATAGGCCATGTCTGCAAAATCCTCTCACAAACATCATGAAGAAGATAGAAAGGGAAGTTATGATTTGAATGACAAGAAGTGCAGGCAGGTTTCAGCCAGGACAAAGGAATTGGGAACTCTTCAGTTAAAGAACTATCTTTAAGAAAAGTGAAGAATGCACCATAGACCTTAACATGTATTTTGTCGAATGATGATGAATTGGGGTAAAGATTTGAACATCACAACTTCAGAGTAAACTGGCAGAGAACAACAGACATCCTTTCAGGGTGAGCAAGAAATAGAAGTGCTTATTTACCTTTTATGTTGAGTCATCATCTTTCTCTTGTTCCATTTAGTTATCATATAGGGCTTGCAGTCGATTCCTTCATTCCATTTTATCCAGTTCAGACTTCTTCTTCGCATTCATTGGTTGTAAACTCTGGAAAGTTCTGGTTGTTAGTCAAATGCTGATTCCATAACTTGAGTTTGCATTCACATCCGTTATACCCTTCTGGCTTATTTTTATGCAGACTGTTGGTTCCTTGCCTCTCAGGCAGATGCACTCTGACCTCAAAGGAAACACTACTAATTAGACGACTTTTATGTTATGCTTGTTAGGGGGCTGTGGGTCTATCCTTCCCACCCCTCCCCCCTCCAACACAGTGGAGTCCCGGAGTCGAGTACAATCATTTTGCTGGTGTGTGCAGAATCCAGTCTGGCACATTTGTCTTCTCTCCTCAATGTTCATTGCAGAATTTGTGTAGGGCATCAAGCTTCCTCAGTCCATATGTTTCAATTTTGCTGCCATTTTTGTGATTCTTTGTCCTTATTTCTTAGAATGTGCCCATTATATCGCCATCTCTTTTCCCTTATACAGAGTCTGCTTTAACCCCCAAAAAAAGATATTAAAAAAAGATACCTGTTCAAAAAATAAGTAAACAGAGGGGGACCTCTCAAGGCTGAAGAAATATAATATATATAATAAACAAACAGACAGTGCAGTAGTAGTAGATTTTACCCCACTAGGACATCACACAAGCGATAAAAACCTGATAACACAAAGTGCCGTCATGTTGATAAGGATCACCTGTGGAGAGGTCCCGGAAACCGTTTTAGGCATTAGGCCACATTTATGGCTGGGCTATATATTGCGGCCCCTGGCAAGAACCAGGGTGGGGCTTCAAAATAACGAAAGATTGCAATCCCCAAAAGGATGACTAGAATGAACAGACAGTGTAGTGATCGGCACTCATAGAAAGCAACAGAAAGTACGGTAACTATAGCTTTTGATCTTTATATTGTCTAATGTGTCTTTTTACCTTTTTTTTCTACATCTTTCTATGAGTGCTGATCAATACATTATCTGTTTGTTTATTTTATATATATATATTTATATTAAAAAATAAGTCAGATGTGTAATATACAATAATTATCCCCCCTTGTTCAGGTCCTTCAGTACTGTTGAAACCATGGAAAGTATGTTTGCTATCCAGTACCAGACGAGCTTCATCTCAGTGCCACAGCTTAGTGTGCAGCAGTTGATAGACTGTGATCATGGAAACAATGGCTGTAAGGGAGGAGACATTTGTGAAGCTGCAAAATGGTCGAATGTGGTAATTATTTAAATTATTGCTCATAAAGTAAAGTAAAGTCCCTTTGCCACGCCTTTAGGCGTATTGGGACTATAGAGACCTATATTTTTATAGACTAATCGGCACTTGGTAGGTGATGTGATCAGCATCACGCTGGCTGCCTTTACTTCCAAGGACTGCACCTGGTACCCACTCAAGGCTGGGTCGACCTGGGAGTCAAGGTCATTTTTGAAAAAAGTCTGGCTCCGTCAGGACGCAAACCCATGACCTTCTGATCCGCGGGTTGGCATCTAGCCGCCAACGCCACGGTGACTTCAAATTATAGCTCATGAACATTTTAATTGGTCTCGATATAATTTCTACTGTTCAAAAGTTGAATGTTTAATTAACAGTCCACATCATTGCACTCGGGACACTCCCATAAGTGCTCAGTTCCCATCTTCAGCAGCAAGTGAAGAGTTCTAATTCTGATTCTACATCCATCTCCCTTTTCCTATGAGTATTGAGCGTCGGCCAGATCCCCAGGTAACTCCCTGCAGTGCCATTCTCTTTAGACTGTAATGATCTATTTGTGCCTCCGCACTGTTCACTCGCTCCCAAAGGGCCCTCACGACATATGTCTTGTCATACATTAATCATAGCAATCGGGACACTTCCATTTTAAACAGCAAGAGAAGAGTTCCAATTCCAATGCTACCAGTAACTGTCTGACTGTACAATCCTACTGATCAAAATACATAATTAATATAAAACCCATGCCACTGGACAGTTGGTTACTTCATAACTGTGTTGTGCCCCATTTTTCTGTTTTATAGGGTTGAAGTGGGTTGCTGGAATTTGCTCCTGTTAAAGTCACATACAGAAAGAGGCTCCTTGAAGCACTAGTTGTCAGTCCGTCAGTCAGCAGTACTAGAGGGGAAAATAAAAAAATAAAAACTGATGCGTATTGGGCTGGAATTTCTCGACAGTAAAATACCTAGAAGTGGCATCCATGGCTTAGGTGTTGCGAGTTTGACTCATAATTCCAACTCATAATTCCAACATACTGCAATCGAAACCCACTGCTGGCTGCATGGATTTTAATTGTGGTATGGGGCGTCGCAGGTTGACCCAGCCTAAAATGGGTACCAGGATGGCTGTCCTGGGGAAGTAAAGATGGCCGACGTAATGCTGACCACATTACCCACCTAGTGCCGATGGTCTCGAAAAATATGGGCACTCTTCCCAAATACCTGATGCGCCCAAAGGCCTGAAAAGGGATCTTTACTTTTTCTCTACTAAAATACCTATAATTCATTGTAGAAAAATCCTAGCCTCTGCCAAATATAGGGCATATTTTTGTCAGTATGTGTGTGTTATTACTTTGGCTATATCAAACAACACAATGCCTTGGAAAGAAAAATAATAAAGGGTATGGTACTGGGTAAGACAGGCAGGGGCTGACCAGCAAAAACATGGGCATCATCAGCATCATCGTCCTGTATCAGTGCATGTCATTGGGTCACCAGTTGCTTCTGACTGTCTGATCAGCTCCTTCCGCCTTTGCTAGTCATTTGCAGTGGACATCATGGTTGCATGCCTAAGTCCTGTCCAGTCAGTAAAGTTCTGTATCCATTTTCCTTCTTTTCTTTGTAGTTAAAAGAGGTTCATAGTTGCCAGTGTGCAGGGTAATTATACGGTGATCCTCATCATTTGTGATAGAAAGATGGATGCAGGCCATAAAATGACACTTGGGCATAGAAGTGCACGAGGGAGGAGAGCTGGCAAAGGAAAAAGTTTTTCTTTCTTCAGACAAGCTGTGATGGAGGGGTGGTTTTGTAAAAGCCCAGCTATATGATGATGTGTGTGTGTAGGCGTTGCGAATGTGCTTCGTAATGTGGTGATGCCAGGTTCTATCCCAGCTGCAGACCCTGTACCTTGCGTTGGTTTCAACAGTGGTATCGAGAACTACCGTCCAGAAAGCAATGGCAAACTACTAGATGTAAATTTGCCTAGAAAAACCGCAACAGCCAAAAAAAAAAAAATGCTGCGGTTGATTCTGCAATGTCCTGTAAAGGATACGCAACTAACTTTTAACACCTCTGTGTGGTTATCCTAGGGACAGGTTCCCAAGCGGGGGCCTGGCCAACATAAATAGGATAGATTTTTCTTTTCAAGTCACAAAGTACATCTTTCCTGTGTGGGAAATGAGAATAAAACCACTACCTGCCCAAAGCATGTTGTAAGAATTGACTAAATGGGAGCTTCCTTTGAAGTCGGAATACATCTGCCTGAGAGGCAAGGAACCAACAGTCTGCATGCAAATGAGTCAGACCTGTGAAAAGGATGTGCACATAACACTCAGTTTCTGGAACAGGATTTGAGTCCAGAAGTGGGCAAACAACCAGAACTTTCCGCCGGAGTTTAAAGCTGGTGAATGGAATGCACAGAAGAAGAAGAAGAAGAGAATGTGCTTGTTGTCTTTGTGTATCAGCTGCAAGAAAGGACAGTAAAAGCACATTGCTTTAAAAATCTTTTGTATTTCACAGAATGGCGTTGTCAATGAAACCCTTTATCCCTTGACTGATCGCACAGAAACCTGTAAAACAGTGTCCCCTGTGCCACGAGTCTTTGTCAAAGATTATTTCTGTAACAGGTCAGTTTTTGGTAATTTTATACAAACTATTTGTGTAGGTGTTGTAAAATATCAACATCAGAGAAAAATGGCTCAAAAACAATGTAATTTTACTACATGGCATCAAGATGGCTTTAATCCATCATCACTGTTCATTACAAATCTCTGAGAGGCTTCTAAACTGGCAGGCATTTCTGCATTGACCAGTCCCTGACAAACCTAGTTAATGACATTGGTTCTGTTTGCACCTACACACTGTTTAGGAGGGCCGGCTATGATTATATTTTCTACAGACAGTATTTGAGTAGAAATGGGGGTGGTAATATGCTGGAAAAATGTCCGCCCCTTTTTGTTGTTGCTATGATCATAAGTGACTTGCCTTTAGTGATAAGTCACAGTATGAGTCACCTTTGAAATTGTTTGAAGGCCCAGAAATGTATTTATTTAACTCTTTTCTCTGTTTGTTTTATTGATTACTAACCTTTATATATATATTTTTTTTATGTGTGTGTGTGTGTTAAACACAAATTGTATATAACTAAAAATAAATTGTTAAAGATTTGTTTCAAGATCTGTATTTTTAAGGGTTTTAGAGGGGATGATTCTTGGGTTCTAGGGGTGAAAGGGTTAGAAACTAAATTATTTTGGTCACATGAAATATTACAGAAATTTAGAAAGAAATGTAAAGGTAAGTAGTTCTTGCTAGATGAGTAAGGATTGACCAACAGAACAGTGGGCGCAAGACATTAAAGACCTCCTGGGCATGGAGATGCATGAGGCGGCAGTATAGGCAAAAGATGAAAAAATATTTTCAGCAGGCAGTGATACACACTATGATACGTGTTGTCCTTATGAGTTGCTACCTGATGCTTATTTTTTTTTTTTTTTTAAAGTAGTAAAATTTAGTTGCGGGAGCTGTCGTTTAGTGGCTAGATGCTCACCTGTGGAAAACAAGATCATGCATTCAGGTCCTGAAGGAGCCAGACTTTTTCAAAAGCAGCCTTGGCTCCCAAGTTTACCCAGCCTGAAATGGGTACCAGATAAAGCCTTGGGAAGTAAAGGTGGCCATGGTGTTGTTGACTACATCGCCCACTGATTGCCACTGGGTCTATAAAATGTAGGTCTAGTTGTAATGTGTCTCTTTGTACTGGGTCTCACTGGTACTACTAAGATACTGGCTGTTGTCTAGAGGCCATGTTCATAGATCATACGAGACAGATCTTCATCCCAAACAACTGCAGCACTTCTCCACATCATAGTCGACGCCAGTTGATTACAGTTTCATGTTTATTGGTCATAATACATGAGCTACAGGCAATCATCTAGCTAGCCACTACAATACAGCGGATCACCAAGTTGTTTATTAAGAGAGTGTACTGTTTCCTTGTGATCAGATTTTTAAATGTTTTTTTTTCTTTTATGACACATCAGTTATAGGGGGGAAGAAACTGAAATGTTGAAGCTGCTAGCGGAGCATGGGCCAATAGCTGTAGCAGCTGATGCAACTACTTGGCATAATTATATTGGAGGCATCATTCAGTTCCATTGCTCAGAAAACATCAACCATGCTGTGCAGATTGTTGGTTATGATTTAACAGGTAACATTTTTATGGAAGATTCTTAACGGAGATTGAGGGCAGGATTGACAAAAATAATTCGCTATGCCAAAAAAAAAAAAATTCTAAGTATCTTATTTAATTAATTAAATTATGACGATCTGTCATGAAAGTTTGTTGTGTATTCTTTGCATAACCAACCCCAGCATGTTGGGCTGTTAATGATTTCATTAGGCAGTGTTTACATTCAGCAGTTTTCCGTTGCTTTCTGAACAGTCACCACCACTGTCGAAACCAACACAAAACGGACTGCTGCCCAGTTTCCCACAGCTGGGATTGAATCCAGCATCTCTGAATTGCAAAGTGCATTCACAACACCCAAGCCTTAGGTGTATCTGTACCTTTATGATGAGGCGACATGTGATGACATTATAACATGTTAGGCCAACTACATTCATTCAGAGCACTTAGTAAACTCTCTCAATGTGTGCACAGCTAATCTGGGGCTGATTGTCTATTATCATCAGTGGAAATACCTAGGATTCTCTTGCAGTCTAACAGCATGCACGGGTGTTTTATTAATATCCTACCCCATACAGGGGAAATCCACAGGTCGCGGGACAGTTTAATATTTCAGGGGGTGGTAGATAGGCTGTATGCAGTCGTGGAACGTAGGCTACACTTTCTCCGTTGGATGTAGGTGGGTTGGGGTTAGGACCAGTTCTAGATGTTTTGGGGTCGTTAAAAGCATTAGAAAGCCGGAAAACCCAGTCTTACCACTCTCTAAAATGTTGGACTGTCCTGTGACGTAATCTGGGGGTAGGATATTAATAAAGCACCCATGCACGATTTAAGTCTTTAGCAGGCTTATTTAAAGTGAGTGGAGAACAAGGCTTTTCTTCTGGTGTCTGTAATGGTACCTATTACCCGAACCTTTTTTTTCCCCAGCCTTACGGTAATAGATTCATTTGTGATAAGTACGGGCTCCATTTTTAGAGACTTTATGGTGAATACTCGCACCCTTTCTTTTTTTTTCTAGAGAAAGCCCTGGTGGAGACATATTGTGGATATGCTGAGACAGCAGTCTGTCAATCTTTCCACAAGGGACTGTGATAAACATTCTGTGCGTTTTTAGTTGGCACAGGAGCGTAGCAACTTTGGGGTGACCCGTTTGCTATGAAGCTGAAACTAAGATTACCAGATTACCAGATATCGTGGATATCTATTTTCATTAACCAGATTTTTACCTGCCTCTATATCTGTATCTTTTTTACTATTATTTAATGTAGTTAGAAATGTAGATGTAATTCGAGTGATTTTTAGTTTTTTGTATTTAATATTTAGCTGCTGTTGATAATGTTTGCTATTACTTGTTAACAGATGTATCAATGAAATGATGTATGAAAGGAAGAAGATAAGGGCAGTATATTAGATGGGCCTGCATACGCAGTTCTTAATCCTTAGAAAGTAAAGTTTTTTCATTCATTTGTTCTAATGTAGAGAGGAAGTTTCATTGGTCAGTATAAATTTTGGCCTGGGCCAATCAGTGCCTCAGTATACAAAACACCGGCTTCCACATTTAGATTTCTTCTTCTTCAGTGATCAGCATTTGTTATGCATTCACGTTGACCTGTTCTCAAAAAAAGCATAGTCAAATTCTGTTGGTTCTGTTTGCGCTTGTGTAGTGTTTAACTAGGATATGAATACAGCAAATGAGAAGAAAACTGAGTTTTCCTTATGACTCCAATGAATGTTTTAAAGCCAAGCTGATGTCAGATTTTCCTGTAAGCCTCAGTGATATGTGTCACAGGGTCACGGCATGAGTAAAATGATACATATTGTTTGTTTAGGCACTGGAAGTGTATTCCATTCAATGCTATCACTCTTATCACGTTTATCAATTACCTCTTTATGTGTCTTTATATATTTCTGAGGAGCGGCCGGCCATGTGGTTACAACATCTGGCTATCATGCGGAAGACACGGGTTTGACCACACAGTAAGGTGATGGCATTTTAAATCAGGGCGAAATTAAACATCCTAACCTGCACAGTCCATGGCAACAGCACTTCCCATGTGGCCCTAAATCCTCAGGCTCACAATCCCCCTGTCTACACTGCCCTAAAAAGTGGTAAAACAGATAGTAGTGACAATTATATATTTCTGAAATCTATATACTCACACACCTACATACACATGTGCACACACACACACACACATTTTATGAATGTAGATAAATACTTGTTTAAGTTATTAGTGACCAATGTAATAAGATTGTTGTTTCCTATGGGTTCATAACGCAGGCTTTTTAGGCATTCATGTGGGGGGGGGGGGGGCAGGGTAAAGGGTGGTTTCGTGAAACTGGCGACCTCATTACAATTTATCCATATAGTGTACTTATAACTGCTTCCTAACATGTCTCGCTTTGTATACATTTGTAGGAGATATACCCTATTACATTATCCGTAATTCCTGGGGATCCAATTTTGGAGATCATGGCTATATTTATATCAAATATGGTGACAATCTGTGTGGTAAGAAAACAAATCCATTTCAACTTTTATAACTTAGCATATTTTACTAAAATATAAATTTAAAGACCTGGCAAGGGAAAATATCTATTGCATCAGAGTATTTACACCATTTATTTGCACAAATCAGGAGATGATTGTGAATATGCAATCATGACTAGACAGTAAGTAGAGCAAATGAAAAGGTATGAGACAGACAACAGCGGTGTGCAGGAAAAAAGAAGTAAAAACCGAGACAGAACTGGTGTCAGCCTCTGTGCGCCCCAAGATATACTGGTATTTGGAGGAAGGGGGGCATAATCCGAGTCCTTATGGAGAAGGGCTTCATATGCAGTGGGGATGATGTGTTGACTAACTAACATTATTAGTTAGGAAATAAATAAGCTGCAGAAAGTATTTGCTAACAGTCTTATTCTCATGGTAATGTTGTGTTGCATTGGTAATCATGTCTGTCAGCATCCTTCTGTCTCTTGTGCTGTCAGTCATTTCTGATACAGATGTTCCTCAGTGATTCTATTAATACTCTTTTGGTGTTCCAGTTTTACTGTTGTCATAACATGCTCCAGTTTCCTTCTTCTCATGACATGCTCAAAGAATGTATTTTATCATCTTGTTACTGTTAACTAGTTCTGTTTTTGAGTATAAGTGTTAACTTTATTAGTAGTAATATGGAGGACCATTTTCCTTACCCTTAGACATATAGGGCTAGACCTTTATTTTATTTATAGATCAGTCGGCACTCAGTGGGTTATATTGTCAACGCTATGCTGGCTGCCTTTACTTCCCATCTTTCCTGATAGGATTTCTAAATGAATTTGTTAGTTAGTTGGTTAATTAGTTGGGTTATCATTGTTGCACTCCGGACATGTCCATAGGTGCTCAGATCCTCGTCTCAGTATGAACCCCAGCGTTCGGTGGATTTATAGTAAGTAAAGGTTCCTTTTCCACGCCTTTAGGCGTATAGGGCATATAGGGCTAGACCTATATTTTTATAGACCAATCGGCACAAGATGGGTGATGTGGTCAGCATGATGCTGGCAGCTTTACTTCCCAGGACTGCACCCGGTACCCACTCAAAGCTGGGTTGACCTGGGAGTCAAGGTCATTTAAAAATAAGGTTCGGCTTTGCCAGGGAGCGAACCCACGGCCTTCTGATCTGCACGGGAGCATCTAGCCGCTATTCCGCGGCGACTCCAGGTGGCTAATAGTACCAGATAAATATGATGACTCAAGATGTTTGTTTTTATTTTTTTTCCTTCTTCTTTTAACAAAACACTCTTTAGTAAAAGTGTAACTTCTTGCCTGGTCCAAATTTCATATTTTTTAAGGGCCCCATTATAACCTTTTGATTGGACGGGGCTTTCTTTAATTTGTACATGTAAGATTGTCTTCTCTGATGTGTTAATCCTGGTGACTGCAATCTTGGCAGGAACAAACTGTAACTGCAAGTGTAGTGTGTATTTTAAGAAGGGTAAATAATGTAGAACATTTTATGAATGTAGATAGATACTTATTTTTAATTATTAGTGACCAGTGTAACAAGATTGTTGTTTTTAACGGATTTTCCCCCAGGGATTGCCATTGGTTCAACATAGACCACATTACAAACGAAGAGGTTTGCCATAAAATTCTATAGCACATTGGCAACTATAAACCTATTTTAACTACAGTGAAAAGGCGAAATACAATGGTATGGACATGTAATGAGATCTAACGGCCTCTCAAAAGCAATACTACAGGGCTCAGCAGAGGAGAAGAGGCAGACCAAGACAGACCTGGTTACAGAACCTGACTGACTGGACAGGCCTCATGCATGCAACCATGAAGTCTGTCACAACTGACCTCCAAAGGTGAAGAGAGCTGATCAGACAGTCAACAGAAACTAGTGACCCAACAACACGTAGTGTTACGGGATAATGAAACAATGTAGACTGTTTTTCAGTATGCCTGATTTCTTATTTTCTAAATTATTTTGTTTAAATTCAGGTTTGGCAGTGGAGGTATCCCATCTCACAGTCACAGGGTACCAGTGATTATACTTTCTACTTCATCGCTGGAAACAACACTGGAAAGGACCATGTGAAATATCCCTTTAAGATGGAAAATATCCTCATAAAATCACATGATGTGAGATATCCTTGTAAACATGAAATGAAATATCCTTATAAAATCATATGATATTGTGGCCCTGTTTGAATTCCAGAACATAAACCATAGACACAATTGTTTTATTTGTTACATAAGTTGTTATTAAATTCTTTTAAAATGTATTTATCAATATGTTTTATTTTTCTTAAATATATAAAAATATATGAGATGAGCAGTCAGTAAACATGAACAGGGTGAAGCATTAAATCAAATACATTCCCTGGGGCATAAGACAACACACATGTTTTGGGTGATTATGCTGTGACTCCTGACCTCCATCACCGAGGCTTATGGGAAAATCTTTCATCATCTTGACTGTAAAAGTGCCATTTAGCTCAAAGGAAAAAAACTCCCAAATGCTACTGTTAGTCCGTGTTAATGTATTCATTTCCTTTTCTTCTAAATATTTGTACAGTTGAGAAAGCAGCCTGGAGCACATTAATTATGCATCTCATAAACATTAATGTTACACAAGCTGGAAAAGTGACATTTACATGGAAATTTAACCCAACCGGAGATGTCAGGTTTTCGCCTTCTTAGGGCAAAAGGGTTAATAGAAACAAATACGATTGAATACTGAAGTCCTGGAGAGATTTTGACTGTAAAGAGAGCTGACAAAAAGAGTTAAAATGAGCAAATTAAATATTGAGACCACCCGCATTGAAAGAGATAACACTGTTTTAAAAATCATAGAGGAGACAAAAGTTAAATGCAAAAGGTGTACAAGTGGGAGGACAACATCAAGAGATGCACAGTCAGCAGCCTGAGAAAGTGTACAAACAAGACAAGAAACAAAGAGTTTTGAAGATCCATTGCAGCCAATCTTGGCTGCCAAGATGGCACCCCATGTGAAATATCCTTCCAAAGTCATATGTTATATCTTTGTAAAATCACTTTATATCAGTTATCCTGGTAAAAATCACATGATATTAACTGTCCTAGTAAAACCACATGTTGATTATCCTAATAAATTCACATGATATCAAATGTCTTAGTAAAATCACATAATATCAAATATCCTAGTAAAATCATATGATGAGAAATATCCTAGAAAAATGGCATAATATCAGTTATTCTAGTACAATCACATAATACAAACTATTCTAGTAAAATAACAGGATATCAAATATCATAGTAGAGTCATATTATATTAATTTTCCTAGTAAAGTCATGTGACATCAAATATCCTATTAAAATAATATGGTTAGAAATATCCTAGTAAAATCACATGGAAAATATCCTAGTTCAGTCACATGAAGAATATCAAATATCCTAATACAATCATGTGATTTCAGATATCACAGTACAGTCACATGATATCTATTGTCCTAGCAAAATCTTGAGATATCAAATGATATTAAATAAATAAAATGAAAGGAAATATTCTCATGAAATCACAGCATGTGAAATATCCTCTTAAGGTCACATAATGTGAATATTATAATGTTCACCAAATAAATAGGACTTGACAGTTAGTTTTTTCATCTGTTGAAAATGTTTATTTTATGCTTTTATTATCTGAATTTGGAATCTTTTAACAGAAACTGTAACCTTGCTGTTATCATTTGTTATTTGATTCATATTGTAAGGTTTTTTTAGTATACTTAAAATATTTTATTGATTTTTGGATGTGATTTTATTGTTAAACTATTGATTGTTGATGTTATATGTACATTATATACACAATGCAATATGTGGCATATGTTATACTATTTAATCAGTTTACTATTCTGATCATCACTATCATCACCTACTTTTGCGGCTAAGCATCATGGAGAAGTACAGTTTGAAGGCCACTGCTCGATCAGTGTCTTTAATGTTATTCAGAGATTTTGGCTTCCATTTTTGTTCTGTTAATTTTTCCTCTACACCCAAAGAATGAATAAACAGTTAAAGTTCTTTCTTCTGAGTTGCTGTGAGCAGTGTGTACATTTATTTCTTCTTTTCACATTATTATCTTTTGTTGTATTTTTTCAGTCCTACTTAATCTTTTTGTACTGCATACCTGTTAAAATCTAAATGGCATTATAACACAACAGATCCTTATATAATACAGTGAATCCTTATAGTACAGTTGGTCATTATAATATCATGGATGGGAGTCTCGGTGGCGAAGTGGTAAAGCCGTTTGCCCCGCACTCTGAAGGTCATAGATTCGTTTCACGGTGGCGCCTTTTAGTTCACAAGTGCAAATTCTTTTACGGAAATCCCTGAGGATTGTTGCCGGAGGTACGGAGGTCGTGTTCTGTGGAAGCTCTTGGCAGGCAGCTAGCTTTTCTGTGGAGAGAGACTGAGCCATATGGGATAAAACCTGGGGCAATAAAGTCGATTCTGTCACCTTTACCTTTACCTGATATCATGGATCTTTACGATAGGATGGATCCTTATAATACAGTGAATCCACAAAGACGGACAAACTGCCAGAAAGTGAAAATCTGCTTCAGCAAAGGTAGTTGCTATTAAGTAGAGATCATAATCATCATCCTTCGTTAGACGTCACATAGAGCTCGCATTCAATTCCTCCACTTCCCCATTGGGGTTCCTGGGCCCCATTGTGGGGAAAACAAGAATAGACCCACAGCCTGTACAAAAGCATGTTGTAAGAGTCGACTAAATGGTAGCTTCCTTTGAAGTCAGAGTACATCTGCCTGAGATGAAGGAACAAACAGTCTGCATGCAGATGAATCAGACCTGTGAAACAGATGTACAAACAACACTCAGTTTCTGGAACAGGGCTAGAGTTTAGAAGTGAGCGAACAACCAGAACTTTCCGCCGGGGTTTAAAGCCGGTGAACGCGAAGAAGAAGAAGAATTCCTCCACCCTGCCCTCTGTTGACCAAAGTTTCTGTGGCTGTGAAACAATCTCGTTTTGAGGTAGCTGGCCTCATGCACATTTGGAAGAGATACTTGCTGTTAAGTAGAGATTGTTGTTATTAAGTAGAGCTTGTTGCTATTGAGTATAAATCATTTCTTTGAATAAGTTATTGCTATTAAGAAGAGATTGTTGCTTATGAGAAGAGATAGTTACCATCTAGTCGAGATTGATGCTGTTAAGTAGAGGTAGTTGCTATTAACTAGAGGCTGTTGCTATTAACTAGAGAGAGATTGTTGCTATCAAGGTGCTGTTAAGTAGAGACAGTTGCTAGTAATTAAAAATTATTGCTTCTCAGTAAATATTGTTGTTATTAAGTAGAGATACTTGACATTAAGTAGAGATAAGTTGCTATTAAGATATTTGCTGTTAAGTAGCATTTTTATGTCGAGATAGTTGCTGTTAAGGAAAGATTGCTGCTTTTAAGTTGAGTTTTTTGCTGTTAAGTATGGATTGCTTCTATTTAAGGAGAGATTGTTGCTATTTAGTAGAGATTGCTGCTATTAAATAGAGATTGCTGATGTTAAGTAGAGATTGTTACTATTAAGTAGAGATACTTGCTGTCAAGTAACACTATTAAGTAGAGATAATTGCTGTTAAGTTGAGATTGCTGCTTTTAAGTCGAGATTATTGCTGTCAAGAAGGGATTGTTTATATTAAGTAAAGATTGCTGCTATTATGTAGAGATTGCTGCTGTTAAGTAGAGATTACTGTTATTAAGTAGAGATTGCTGCTGTTAAGTAGAGATTGCTACTGTTAAGTAGAGATTGCTACTATTAAGTAGAGATTGCTGCTATTAAGTATGTTTCTCCACCCATATACACACTAGCTCAATTCTGATTGGTCACTCCTGAAGCTGTCACCTTGGCACAAGGTTACGGGGGTGTTCTGCAATGCCGTTAATATCGTGTGTTGTATATTTCAGCACGCGAGCTTTTTTAACACTCCAAAAACATGGAGAAACTGATCCTTATACAACTCCCCTAAAGAGTGCTGCAACCTTTGTTACAGGCATTCTCTTTCTCGGAATGAAAGCGTAAATGCAAGACATCACAGAAAGCAAACAACAGAGCAGGACACACCTGTAACCTTCAGGAAAGTCGACCAGCACAACAAACTAGTGAATGAAAAGTGATCTATTCTATTTGGGGAGACTAACATGAACCTAACCCTAATTTCATTTATATAGTATGCTCAGTTTTACTACCATTGTTTTAAAAACGCACTTGGATGCATGTCCTATAGTGCTGAGGAACACGCATCTACACAGCTGGAGAGTTTTGTTTGTAATGGCGTGTCTGATATATTTATTTTTCCTATGCCAGTAAACTTATGGGACTCGAACACATGTTCACCAGGCTGACAGACAGACATGCTAGCATTGCACCAGTCTCTCTCTTACTTTGCTGTTGCTCAATTATAAATGTTTATTTAGGGATTTTTAAATAGATTTACACTTTTACAGCTTGATTGGTACATTTGAATTATTTTGAAAGAGAGATGAGAGAAAGAGAGAGAGTAAGACTAGTAGTAAAGAAGCAGAATCATAATTTTATAGACCAGTCAACACTCTATGTGATTAACGTTACACCAACCACCTTCGCTTCTCAGGACATTACCTGGTACCTATTTTAGGCTGAGTCGGCCTGGAAAAGAGGATGAGAGAGAGATAGAGAGAAAGGTTAAATAACAGATGACATATTTTTCTCTAACACCTTTTATGATTGTCTCAACCTCGATCAACAATATCAGTATACAGAGACTGTTAACAAGTTAGTTGCGTATCTGGTACAGGACGTTGCAGAAAAAGCGCCATCGTTTTTTTAAAATAGCTATTTGTGTTATTTTACACATACATCCTCCAGTGAACGTAAAATTGTAACAGAGATGAAATGTCTTAGAAGAGCTGCAGGAGTTTCAAGGAAATTAGAATACAAAATCATGAAATCAGAAAAATGTTAGGAATAAAGCCAGTCTCACAGGTCATCACAGAACAACAAATAAAGTGGTTTG